TAGTGCAGTAGAAACTGCTCTAGAGCTGTCGCTTCCAAACAGGCAGCATTCCATCGATGACAGAAAAATCCAGGCCCTGAGACTAGAGCAGAATATGTCGAGGCTAGAGGCACAATGAGACAATTCGATCATCAGAGGATGCTCATAATGCCAAAATAAGATCAGAACTTGTTGAATGTCCTGACGGATCCCGTTCATTTTGGTCCTTCGTCAAAGCTGTAGAAACAATCTTCACTTCCAGCTCATTTCCTCCTCAGTCCAAGGAAGATGGAACACAAGCCACAGCTGCCCAGGAGAAAGCCAACATTTTTGCGCATCATTTGCTGGAAGAAACAACCTTCAAACATAACGCCAATTGACAGTCCTATGCTCGAGATCACCTTCCGCCAATGCACTATGAGCAAGATTTTATTGGGTCTCAACACCAACGAAGCTCGTGGCTCCGACGGAATCTCACCGATTGCCCTCAAGAAATGTGCTCTTGAACTAACACCTGTTCTCTGCAAGTTGTTCAAATACTCTTACAAATTGGGGATATTTCCGTGCAACTGTGAAATTGCAAGAGTAGAACCAGTTTCTGAAGAGGAAAAAAGAGTCCACCTAGCAACTACAGACCGATTGCACTGCTATCTATTATTTCAAAGATCATGGAGAAAGCTATCAACACCGAGCTCATGAAATACCTGGAACATTAAGGTATTATCAACGATGGGCAATATGGCTTTCGTCATCAGAGATCAACTGGTGACCTGCTCGCTTACGTCTCACATATATGGTAGCAATCTATAGAAAAATATGGTGAAACCTCAGCCGTGGAACTTGGGAGCGCTACCTATTTAATTGGCGAAGGCGCTGCGGAATATGGCCTCTTAAATGAGGAAACAGTGGCTTTCGAAAATTCTCAAAATTATATCGAGCAACGTGAATTTCTGGAAAATCTACTATATTTTATTTCTACGTTATTATTAGAGATACAGAAAAACTGAACTGACAACTTTTGGTGGGATTTAACGTGGTGATACAGATTTCTCTATGCGACGTAAGACGACGTTGAATCTCATGAGAAGTTGCAAAACGATAACGTGAAATGAAAAAAATTTAATAGATTTTTTGCAAATTCACTATTTTCGACATAACTGAAAAACTACAGATGATTTCGAGAATTATCGAAGGCCGTTGCTATGACCCTCTGAATGCACAACTCTTTCCCTATTTATATGGATTCGTATCTCTTTCCGTTCCTGAGATCCCCATACTGTGCAACCGTATTTTGGTCACACTATATGTATATATTTTGTGGTCGACCGACTTCGGGTTTTATCTCTCACCTGAAAAATTCTAGATTTTCATGAGAATGGATGGTTTGCACGATTTCACATAATTGTGATATGCCCAATATTACCTATAAAATTGTCCATGTGTCACTTGCTGCATTTCAGTATCGTTGTGGTTTAGATTCTGTGAAACAGTCGCAATTTGTTTTTTGAGACGAGAAGATGTAGGGTGCGAGGATTTCAAGCCCGACATTCCGATGCATATTTCCTCAATACTGTCATTCCATCCATCCATTTTGATAAACTTCCTGGTGAAGCAAATAAAACGAATTCTCTTGCAGAACGAATGGTTTATCTGAACGATAGCAATGTTTATATTTATTCTTGTAGAATTTTTGCGAGAAGTATCGGTACTGCTCTACCACCTTTTCCCACTGTTATGATTCGTTTAGAATGATAATTTCTCCTCAAATTTTGTTCAAGAATTGAGGAACTTTCCTTTAACAGTGCTTGTCAAACTTCAATAATGAAATTCAAATTCTGAGTACTGTACATTTTATGAGTGTAATATCTGAAAGCAATTATTTCTTGGGTTACTGGTGATTTCTGAGGATTTGTGGAATATTTTTCATTCAAGTCAATCAGTGCAAGACTATCCATTTCAAACTTCCAGTTAGCGTCAACTAATTCACGAAACCCCTTGACATTTTCAAGTGCCGTTTCATAACCTGTTATTGCCAGAACTGGATTGAGTTATGGCTGCTGAACAGACAACCAACAAGATTGTTTTCAGATGAAGTGCTGAAGATAGTGATCTGAATGATCGCGTTACATCATCGCAACCAGAGATAATACGGCTTGCTGCAACTACTTTATCGAAGTATTCAAGTTCCAACATTCCCAGCATGGAATCAATATTATGAATATATCGCAATGGGAAGAGGAGTCTACCCAATTTTCTCACCTTGTTTGATACTGCGTTATCAATATGTGGTATTTTATGTCTGCGCAAGTTATATTCTGCATACTGACGAATTATTGGGTCACTCTTTCCATTCGAAGATATTCTGTCAGTATGCATCTTATCGAACACTTCAATATCAGTTAACTCAAAAATTCCTGACGAGATTCATTGGAAGCGATCATTGTCTGACCTTCGCTTGCAGAATCAATTCGTTTTTTTGCTTTTCTCTTCTCTCACATGACAATTTACGGAATGCCTCCCCATTGTTGTTTTCTGACACATAGCTTACGATCACTGATATAGCTTTTCATAAGATCGTATTTCATGCCCCTGAAAACCCAATTTTCTGGAACATCCAGGAGGTCTGGCTGATTAACAGTATCGAACGGTGTTGCTAAGTCGACGAAGATACATTCCGCTGATTCATTTCATCAACTGCTCTTCATATTTTTGCTGTCAAATTTGCAATTGCATCTTGCGTCGATCTTCCTTGCATGAAACCATATTGATATTGTGATGTTATATCATATTTTTCAACGTATTCATCATCCCTCACCCCCAAATTTTTTCCAAGATTTTGCTGATATAGACGTAATATTGGCCTGTTATTCGATACTGTTAGTATATTTCCTGACATGTAGAGAGGTTCAACCACTGCCGTTTTCACGATAGGAAGGTCCCAGATTTCACATTTTATTCATAATACCCGTATTAAGATTCTTAAAAAAATCTACACAATATTCCAAGCTTATTGTTAATTTTCTTTTCATAAGATTCAATTTGTTTGAAGGCAATATCTTGTCCTTTTCGATCCATTTTCTTGACACATCGGTACATGTTTTGAGTGAATTTGAATTTGTTTCATCTTACTGTATAATAACTGGATATTTCCTGATCCAGAAGATTGTTCAGAATATTTCCATATGTCTTGAAATCATTCATAGGTTTTTCATTGTCAGGATGTTTTTGAACATTTCTGTACATATTTCTCTTCCTGTTGACTGATTTCACTGGGCTGTCCGTTATCCAAGGATTTCTCTTCGATTCGTTCCGATTGATTCGAACTGTGTACTGCACATTTTTATAAATCGTTCTAAAGTGATAACCAACGAAATGGTGGTCTCATTCCATTGTTTTTGTAGGCAGCGTACCAATCTTCTGATTTTGAATTTTTTTTTCAAATCACTATAATTTATATCGGTTTTGTATACAACAAAGTGACATATTTCTCATTTGTCCATCTTCCTCTTCCGCCTCCTTATGTTGGACTCATTGCTGTACTCAATGTAACTGTAATCTCCTAATAACTCTGCTGTTGCGACCTTCCAGTTTCTTACGTTACAGTTCCGCGACATTGAAAGGTCTATCCAGGTTTCTCCTTCGGTGCTGGAGTATGTCGCCGTAATTGTGCTCATATTCCCAATTATGTATTTATATTGTATTGCCCTCTCTAATATCCATCCCTCTCTTCTGTCGTCACAGTTTTCTTCCCAAGCTTGATTTTTAGCATCAAAATCTCTAGATATTATTAATTCTTTGGTTTCATCATCTAAATTAACAAGTATTCTACCTACATTATAGCAATTCAGTTGCTTTCCTACATCTTCTTAAGTTGATTTGTATGACTTTGAGTTTCGTCATACACTGTAGTTGATTTGTCCTCCAGTTTGTTCGACTTTCTTCACGTACATCAAAGATCTTTTATCCCTAGCTGCGTGTTGTCTCTTGGTTATGCCAGATCTTTTGCAGTTTATGCAGCTTAGAGGGTTCATTTCCTCACACCCTTTGCTGTCGTGCCCTTCTTCCCCAAATTTCATACATACAGCTTTCACCTGACAATTTTTCCCTCCATGCTCGAATACAAAATCATTGAGACAAAGTTCACTCTGCCCTTTTCTGCTATTTTCTTGAACGGCCGTGCATTAAGTTCGATCACTATATCATCTTTCGCATTATCTCTGCAATTCCTTCTGAGTCATTTTGATGCTTTCTAGATCTTATTTTGTGTATCCAGTTCATACACAAAGACTGCATCTGTGTAGCCTGCCGTGACTCCGGTCATAAGCAGTAGCGGTTCCCTGTTAGATGTTGCTTCCAGCCTCAGTTCGCTATTGTTACTTAATGCGATTCCCATTTCAGCACCCTGTTTCCCGCTCCTTGTCTCTGATACCTATACCTCTTGTTTGTCTTCCTGACATTCTTCAGTCCCCCTCCCCTATATCATTTCCGCTTTACACTTTTTCGATTTCGCTCAATATTTGCCACTATGATCTGACTGGAGTATATCTGAGAGGTGATCTGACAAGGGATACTGTTAAAATATTTCCTTTTTTTGTCTTCAGAAAAATGTGATCTGAGCAATTACTACTCTCTCCTTGTATACGTGTGACACTATTAATCATTGGCAAATAATTGTGCTAATACATGATATTCGAAAAATCTTTACAATATTCATCATTGCCCAATAGATCGATGTTGATGTCACCAATTATTGCCTATATGTCATAACGTGTAGAGTTATTTGGTGCTGAGTAATCATGATCTATAATTATTACAATGTTGATTGTATCTATTTGCAGTTCATGAAAGTTTCTTATATAATCAATATTGTTGTTGAATGGCATGCAGTGAGTAGCAATATTTTGTGGTCCTAGTAAATAATAAAATTCTATAAGAAATACAGCTACGAAAATTCTGTAAAGTGGCAGTTAGTGAAAATAAAGTGTGATCTTCGATTTGGTGAAGTTAGAAAATAGTTAATTATGGTGATTACACGAGAAATCGCCGACGAAATAAAAAACGCGGTGAATTTAGCACTGAATAAATGTCTAACAGACCAAACATTCATAAAAACCCTGGCAGATAGCGTATCCAAGGCCGTCACCGATACTGTTAAAAATAAACTCCAACAATTGGAACAAAAAGTGACTGAACTCAAGAACGAAATGAATCAAACTAAACATGATAATAACACACAAATAAAAACACTAGGAGGTTCACTGAAGAAAATTACAGGTGAAAACGAAATGCTTCGTAATAAACTTGACAATATGGAACAGGAAATGAAAAAAAATAACTTACGAATTTTTAACTTACAAGAAAACTCACAAGAAAATACTAGCCAAGACATTATCACCTTTTTCCGTTCCAAGTTGGCTATCAGTCTAGAAGATAAGGATATAGATATCTGCTACCGTATTGGAAAGAATGATAATACAAGAAAACCGAGAGGAATCTTCTTGAAGCTCAAGAATTTCGACAAGAGACAGGAAATATACCATAAAAAGAAATTGTTGAAAGGTACAGGAGTCATCATAAGAGAAGATCTCACAAAACTCCGTGTCGAAATGTTATCAAAAGCCATCGAGAAAACGTCTTTGAAAAATGTATGGACAGAAGGTGGAAAGATATTTGTGAATATTGACAATAAGGTTATCATAATTAACAATAATGATGACTTTCGTAAAGTATTTCCACTGTAGTGTGTATGTTAACAGTATACTATTTTGCTAAGGGCCCAAAAAATGGGATTTTGGTTTCGAAATCTGAACTATAATTTCCTCTTTACTTATTACACATTGGTCTTTTCTTTTTTTCTTTTTTCTCTTGTTTAGATCTCTTTATTCTTGTATCTTTTTATTCTGTTGCATCTTCTTATATTAAATTCAATGCTGGAATTCTTGGACATCCTTGATAACCAAGAAGAAATAAAAACAAGAGTGTTCTCTACCTTACATGAATGTATCTCGGATTATGGTGATGTGGGAGGATCTAACTATGTCGGTATCTTTCATCTCAATATAAGAAGTATCAATAAAAATTTGGATGAGCTACTCGTGTACATCGAAGAAGTATCGGATAATATAGATGTTATTATACTTTCTGAAACATGGAATGTTGAGGTGGTAAGTGACTTTTCTATCCCTAATTACACAATCCACTACAACGAATCAAAAAGAAATCAGAACGATGGTTTAATAATTTACGTTAAAGATACAATTGCTTCAAATGCATTCTCAACCCCCATAAGTGAAACAAATCTATTAAGAGTCACATTACCAGTTCTCAATACAACAATTGGAATAACTGCGTCATATCGACCACCATCAACAAACACCCAGCTGTTTCAAGAGGATTTGAAAGCATATTTCACAACTTTAGCAAAGTGCGAAATTGAAATTTTCATAGGAGATATTAATATAAATCTGAATAACAAGTTCTCAAACGAAGTCAATAATTATGTCAACATTTTAACAGAAAATGGTTATCTTTCATACATAAATGAAGCAACTAGAGTAACAAATGAATCAAATAGTAATTTGGATCACATTTTTGTTAGAAATTGTACAAACTCACAAAATTATTCCTTCTACTCATCAATTATTGAAACCAGTCTATCTGATCATTACACAACTTCATTATGTATCAGCAACGTTAGTCAAAATGATATAGCTGCCCGAAACAAACGTGAAAACATCACTATTAAAAAAATTGACTATGAAAAATTAAAGGACTTCCTAACCAATGAAACATGGGCCGATGTTTTATAATGCGAAGATTCCCAAAGTTCATATGATAACTTTATTGACAAATTGATGCAATATATAAACCAAGCTACTAAACATCAAATCATATCGAAAAATAGAAATTACAAACTGAAACCGTGGATAACTCGGGGTTTAATAAACTCGATAAAAAAAAGAGACATAATGAAAAAAAGATTGAAGGAATACTACTCAGACGAGTTAAAAAACGAATTTACACAATATAGAAATAAATTGAATAAATTAATCAAAACAACGAAAAATCAATATTACAAACAGAGGTTGAATGAAAATTCAAGTAACTATAAAAAGACATGGGAAATAATAAATGAAATCTCGAATAAAACAGTAGAAAAAGAAACAATCAGCTCTATCAATATGTCAGGTCCAAATGGGGAAGTCTTATCTAACAACAAGACGAAGGCCAACGCATTCAACGATTATTTTGTAAACGTCGGAAAAGAGATGGCTAAAACTATCAATAAGCCTGATAACCTTCCGGAAAACTTTTTGAATGACAAATCTGTAGGGCCTACGATACTGTTAGAATCAGTAACTGAAATCGAAATATTCAACATTGTCTCCAACATAAAAAGCAATTGTGCTCCAGGGCCAGACGAGATACCAGCGAAGCTAGTAAAAATTATTTATCAGTACATTGCAATTGCCTTAGTGAATATAATAAATAAAATATTCAAAATGGGTAATATTCCAGTGCAATGGAAGGAATCAGTAGTAACTCCAGTTCATAAAGCAGGGAGTAAAAACAAATTTCAGAATTACGGACCCATCTCTGTAATAAGTAATTTTGCAAAAATTTTTGAACATACCTTAAAAAATAGATTAGTTAATTTTTTCGAATTTCATAATGTGATAACAAAAAAACAATTTGGTTTCATTAGTAACTCGAACACTGAAAAAGCTGTCATTCACTTAACGAAAACCGTAACTGACTCTCTGGAAAATTTCGACAAGTGCCTTGCAGTTTTTTTAGACTTAGCTAAAGCTTTTGATACGGTAGCACATGACGAACTAATGGACAAACTACATAGGTACGGTATTCGTGGCCCAGCGTTAAACATTTTGCAAAATTATTTATCACACAGGAAACAAACTGTCAGAATTGGTAGTGAACTTAGTTCCTCAAATGAAATCACAATTGGTGTTCCACAAGGCACGGTTTTGGGGCCGATTTTATTTTTAGTTTACATAAATAGTATTGGTTGTATAAAATTTGTTGACAATCTTATTTCATATGCAGACGACACGGTGATTATTTTTTCTGGCAAAACATGGCAACAAGTATATCAAACAGCAGCAAAGGGCTTGAAGGATGTCCAGATATGGCTGAACTATAATCTCCTCAGTTTGAATCTGAATAAAACCAAATTCGTTTGTTTCACACTTCTTAAAAACGATCAACCAATTGAAAATGCCATAAAAATACATGCCTCTGAATGTCCACAAATAAATCAATGTGATTGCCCTTCGATAAAAAAAGAATCAAAGTCAAAATATCTTGGTGTAGTCCTGGATCAGCATATGAGATGGGACGAACATGCCCTATATGTTACAAAGCGACTCCGCCAGCTCACTCACGAAATGTACAACTTGAGAGAAACTCTAAACACAAAAAATCTAATGACGGTATACAGATCTTTAGCAGAATCAGTGATTAGGTATTGTATTTCCGTGTGGGGTGGTATATTTGACTGCAACCTGTACAGTCTCCAAGCTATGCAAAATACTTTAATTAAAATAATTCTTGAGAAAAAAAAACTGTACTCAACAGAACAGCTCTATAAAGAAACCAATTTGTATAACATAAGATGTATTTATATTTATCACTGTCTTATATGGATGTATAATAATAAATATTTTCACTATAGCGAAAAGATAAAAAATACTAGATCTACCGAAAATTTGAATGTAATGATTCCCATTTTTAAAAAAACTCATACACAACGAACAATTTTTTATTTTGGTCCTAAATTTCACAATATACTAGACCGCAGTTTGAAAGAAAACCTCTCATTTAATAAATATAAAACTGGTATAAAACAATTCATCAACCTTAACTATCTGACACTAGTGAATCTTTTATGAAAATATTTATATACATATGATTAATGAAAAAATCAGTTGTGTCTCTGGATGAAAATATACATATATGTTTAAACGTGTGTATGTATATAAGCATATATGAACGAACCTCATCGTGTAATATATGAATATATACGAATGAAGACATGGATTTCTGCCACATCAACCACTACGAGATTGACATGTAAGATGCAAAAAAAAAAAAAGTAGAAATAATCCCAAACAATCATTAATTGAATTTTCGATCAAATCCAACAAGAATTCCATCTATTTGATAGTAATATATATTTTCATTGAGACTAGTACATTAATATGTATAATATGATTACCATTCATTTTAATTACCTAATGAAAATCCTGAATTATTTCAATGGGCTGCACAAAACAAGCGCCTCAAGTGCTTAGGTGAACCCTTGGGATAATAAAGGATAGCTGTTATAAATTGTTAATATATCTAAGTATCTTGTTAAATCGAACGAATCAATAAATCAAAATCAATCAAAAAAAAAAAAAAAAAAATCTTCCATGTATTATACATTGGTATACAAATATATAATAGTAAAATGAAAATAGAAGTAAAATTTGAGTTCGAATTATGAAATTATGAATGAAATGGGGAAGCAAAGTCGATAAATACTGATAAAAATGTGGATTACTTCCGATTTCATTATTATTTTTTATTTGCGAACGAGTCAACCTGGCTATATTTGCGAACTCACTTCGTTCATCCCTTTCTCGTTTTCTTTAATTTCCTTCAAGAGTATTCTAAGCCTCTTGACGATGGTTCCAGGTTAATGTTCGGCAATTCGTTCTGAATTAAGATTTCGCTATGCTTAGCTTTGAGCTCTCCAGGGACTTCAGTTCGTTAGAATCAGATTTTGCTAGAGTTAATATGATCTGTTTGAAGTGATAATTCACAACTACACACAATACTGGATGAGTCTCTCCTGGCTCCTGGTTTTTTCCTAAGCGATAGGGTGATCGTACCAGTGTTAGAACACATAAGGACTTTGGGAACTGCAGTATATCATTAATGATGAATAATGCTGATATCGTGCTTCAGTTGAATATTCCCAAGCGAATACTGAATGACTCGACTAAAGTAGTTACAGAAGTAGGAACTCATCAATTGAATGGACGAAATCATATTATATTTATTCATCCATTGGGAACAAACAAATATCAAGTTATAGTACAAATCATTTCACAAATAATTTTTCCACACCTGGACACTCGAAGAAATTACGTCTTATGAGCTTGGGCTCTCAAATCATTTCAGCAAATTTCAGAACTCTTGTACCATATTCGATCAGTACGATCTGGCCATCTGAAAGTTAACCAGCTGGTGTCATAGAGCGGACTTCGTATTCATCATCCTCATTATTGTCTACTATTACTTTGTTTGATTGTGAAGTATTATTACATAATTTTCAATAGTTATTTCTCTAGATTCACTATCTGCAGCTAGATTATCATTCTTGTTAAGATCTCTATCTGAATGGGAATTGACATTCATGAAGTTGTTAGGATCAATATTTTCAGAATATTTAGGAATTTCGGGACACCTGTGAAAACCATGTCTGATGAGTTTAGGTGCTTTTATCATTTCCGCTATTGAAGATTTCATATTTGGTCTATACGATCTGGCCATTTCGAAGTAATAGGACCAGCTGGTGTCATAGCATCGACTTCATATTTATCACCTTCAATACCTTCTACTATGGATATACTCGATTATAACATATTATGTTCCTACAGTGATTTCTTGGGTACTTTCCCCTTTTGCTCCATTCTCATTGATGTCAGTGTGTACAAGATCAACGAGTTCCGCTTGT